ACTACATCAACTACACCAATTACAGCAACTACACTAACTACACCAACTACAGAAACTACACCATCTATATCTACTACACCAAGTACAGTTACTACACGAACTACAGTAAGTACACCAACTTCACCAACTACAGCTACTACACCAACTACAGTTACTACACCAGCTACAGCAACTACAGTAACTACACCAACTACACTAACTACATCAACTACAGCAACTACAGCAACTACAGCAACTACACTAACTACACTAACTACAGCTACTACACCAACTACACCAACTACACCAACTACAGCTACTGCACTAACTACACGAACTATACTAACTACACCAACTACAGCTACTACACCAACTACACCTACTACAGCTACTACACCAACTACACTAACTACACCAACTACAGCTACTACACCAACTACAGTAACTACAGTAACTACAGCAACCACACCAACTACACCAACTACAGCAACTACACCAACTACAACAACTACCCTAACTACACCTACTACAGCTACTACAGCAACTACAGCTACTACACCAACTACAGCTACCGCACCAACTACAGCTACTACAGCAACTACAGTAACTACATCAACTACATCAACTACAGCAACTACATTAACTACACTAACTACAGGAGCTACAGCAACTACAGCAACTACAGCTACTACACCAACTACAGCAACTACAGCTTCTACACCAACTACCCTAACTACACCTACTACAGCTACTACACCAACTACACTAACTACACCAACTACAGCTACTACACCAACTACACTAACTACACCAACTACAGTAACTACAACAATTACATCAACATTCTCATAGTGGGCTTAGTGGTCACTTAATGTCTCTTTATTCGTGACGGTTATCATGAACCCATTACCAGAAAAGGAAAGTTTTCAAGAACGTGGTGAGAGAACCTTTGGGATACTACTCTTAACGAACCAGTTCCACGACTTACTCGAATTCTTGGCCGTGATTGGGTAAAAAATTATTTTTGTGCCTAATCAGGAGCCAGCATGTATTGTGCTGCCTTCGTGATCTTCTTATACGATAGAGTTTACTTGCAAACTCGACTGTTTCCTCTACGCCCCTGAAAAAAATCAGTCTGGCTTGTGCAGGAGAGTTTCTTTGAAAAGAGTATTCAGTGAATTCAAAATGAGCCCCTAAAGTCTACTCTACCAGTTTCATCCGATCCTCTTATATCACTGAGGAGAAACATTTGACAACAAATTTACAGACATTAAAGGGTAAAAAAATGTCTCCTGCGCGTGCCTGCATGACAATTAAGTATGCCGAGCAGTCGTAAACAACCACGCAGACGATTTCGCATGAACAAGCCTAGAAGTACTTAGACTGCAAAACAGTCCGTATTTTTGGGTATTCAAGTATGCGCGAGCAGTCAGACAAAAGGTCTGAAACGAGGCTGAAAACAGAGAGCTAGACTGGGGAGAGACGCTTTTTTCTCTCGCCTCACAGGCCCTACGGGCGTGTAAGGCTCGCACGCTTCACGCGCGTAAGACTCTTGCGCCACGCTTTACCGATTTCTTTAATGATTGTGAGAAAAAAACCCGACTGTTTTGCAGTCTAAGAAGTACTCTGGTGTTTACGAATTTACCTTCGATCAGTCCACCGGCTGATTTCTTCAATTGTTGAATTTTTCGTTTTATTTTGGTTTGGTAACATGCTAAATTATGGGGTAAGATTTCCGTATAACCCCATACACTTATTATGCATGCATGTTTCCACTCTATTCATTTTCATATCAAGTAGTATGCAATTGCTGCCTGCATAATGAATGTATGAACTTACACGGAAATTTTACCAATTATGGCTTTTCAGTGGGGCTCATTTTCACTGAAATCTCTTCTGCAAGAAAGCTCGCCTGCACGAGCCAAACATGCACGGCCAACAGTCGAGTTTGCAGGTGACAAGCCTCAGCGTCCCGGAAGGTAAAAAATGCGGCGCGTCTGGTTGTTATGAAGTGACGTAATCATCCAGTTGAGTATCTGTCATCGTAACACTTCCAGTCAACTACCGCAGAGCTCGAAAAGTACTTTATAGACGGACTACTAGAAAAGTTATGCATAAGTTTTCTAATGGTCCGTCCCTTAATCAAAATCGTGTTCAAACCACTGTGGAGGAAGTCTGTTTATAATTGTGTCGATAAATGCACTTCTGACTTTCATGAGGTTCAATTTTGAATGAATTATGAAAAATTTTGTTAAGCGGGAAGTCTACCTACGGTTCCCGGGAAAAGGAACTTTTATAGTGGCGCAACACAATTTTTTCGAGAGTCGAGGATGTGCTTACAAACCATTCACTATATCTATGCGACTAAAGGAGGGTATAGGGTATATAACAGGTTTAGCATTTCGACCCGTAGCCGAAAAAAAAAAAAATTAGGCAGTTGCCCTATATCCTTTCTGGTTCATCTAGATAGAAGTCCTGGCATATAATTATGCCTGAGCGCTTCTAGGATATAAAAAACGTTTAGCATTTCGACACGTAGAACAAAAAAATTGAAAGTTGTTCCATATCCTTTCTGGTTCAACCAGGTAGAAGTCCTTGCATGATGTTCATGCCTGAGCGCTTCTAGAATGTATAACACGTTTAGCATTTCTTATCACAATTTCATCCTCGTCGATAAAGCAACATGTCATAGTCAATTAAGAGGCCGCTTTGAATCGATACGATCTCATTTGCATTTCTCCAAATTGTAGATGGGCTGAATATTAGCTTGAAGAGTGCTTTGAACTGTAGTTCATGTAAACGAGAACCGATCTAAAACCTGAAGGAGAAGTTTGTATTACTAAATTTTTTCACATCAATTTAGCGGAATGATATGATATTGCTCTTATACTGAAGGCGCATTGGGGGTATAATATGTGGTGCCCACTTTCAAAATACATTCACTTATTATTCCGCACTTAAAGGGATCACAAAAGTGTACAGTTTAATGGGTATTAAAGTGAACACTTTACGCAGTTTTAAAGTAAACACTTTAAGGAGTCTTAAAGGGAACACGTTATGGTGTCTTACAGTGTTAACTTTAAGAAGTCCTCAAGTGAACAGTTTAAGGAGTCTTATAAAGAGAACACTTTAAGGATTAAGTTATATAGGACAATTTTATATAATTTTAATTGTAAGATTTATATAAGGGACTTTGCCCAGCATCTTAGAAAGATCCGTAAAAAGTACGATAGGAGATCGAAGCGCGTACTTTGAAACCTAACTGAAGGACTGAGCAGGTAGTTCCGGCCACACAAACGATCCAAGACAATGATTTCAGCAGAAGTGAAAGAAGGTCAGTGAGCCGCGGTCCTACACTGTAAACTGAAAAACGGATGGGCCTACATTCAGCTGTAGGTCTTAATATATAACTGAAATGCATTATTTAGCAATTCTGTTGAAATAAAATACTTCGCGACGTTTTTGAAGATGTTAAAAGCACTGCTCACACCTCGCGTTTTATCACTGCTCATTACTTAGCTTTTAAACATGTTTCTAGTTGCAAATAAAAAGAAAGACTTTCTAAAGAAACTGCAGTTGTCGTAAAGTTATAAAGAGAAAGCGTTTAATAAGCGAGGTAAGTAGGATTCCTATAAAGTATTCGCCATTCCAAAAGCGAAGCGGGCTAAGAAGTCGGACAGAAAGAAAACATGATTTTGGAAGGATCAAACTACTATGGCTTTTTCCCTTGAATACTTTTCATGTTTCATTCTGCTTTGCGGTGTTTGGTTTTTTCGAGGAGTGTGGTTCAAACTCCTATTTGAATTTAATCAAGGTTGATTATGATTAATGATGGCGTGCAATTTGCGTTTGTTTATTCATTCCGGCTTCATCATCGCCGAAGAGAAAGCACATATATGCTTTAAAATATTTGATATAGATCAACTCATTCTTGTACTAACATTCAGATTTGGAGATGTTTTGGTGTAAAACATTTAGTCGCGTCCGTATCTTTATCAGATATAAAGACACACTAAACATTAATTTCTTTTGTTTTTAAGTTTATGGATTATTAATGAGTTTTTTTGAAAACATCATTGTCACTGCCTTTTGCAATATTTGTACTAACTTTATTTTAGGTAACATTTAAGATAGCTTAAAGGGGTATGTCATAAAGGTATTGCAATATTGCTGTTTTACGTCAATTCTGTGCTTACGTCACCAGGAAATAACGTCACACAGTCCCTTTAAAACCAATACTGGTGGGTCAGGTGTGCTTTGTACCAAACAATCATGAAACTAAGTAAATGAAATTAATAAAATGAGACCACTGATGCACGTAAATAAGACGAAATTTGTAAGGAACAGTTCTCTTGGGTATTATGACATGACCAGTATTGAAAAAAAACAAAACATACTAGCTAAAAAGTTCTATTATCGACACTTAGGAGTATTTATTCAACGTTTTGATATAGGTGGACCTTTTAAATTTAAATTCACAGTATGTAGAAATTGACTAATCGTATTGGAAGAACTATAACTTTAATTTACTTACGTAATAATTTGCCTCAGTTTGCTGATCAATATCAGGATACAAAGTTATTCGGTAAAGCCCTACAGGTGGCAGGAATTACAATTATTTGCTTACATGCAATCAGAATTAAATACAGTGACAGTGTTGTCAATGGTAGAATTAAAAAACCTATTATATATCAAACCATTATTTGAACTGTAGATGTTTTCCAGTAGAAGCGAGTATCAAGAGAACACAACTGTCGAGAAGTCAGTAAAAAAAAAACAACAACAACAACAAAAACAAAAACACTACAGTAAAATGGATCAAGTCCCTGGAGCTGCTCCAGTCTGATAAATCCAGAAGTAACGAACAAAACTCGGAGCAACAGTTACTTTTATTTTGAGCCTCTGGTTGGAAATTCCCTTGTCCTATTAATTGCTTACAAAACGCCAAGGAGTCAGTAAGGATGATCACAACAGAAAATGGATCAAGTTATTGGAGCTGCTCCAGTTTAATAATTCCAGAAGCAGTAAAAATTGGAGTAACAGTTGCTTACAGTTTTATACTTTGTGTTTCGTTGGTTGGAAATTTTCTCATCGTATTAATTGTTTACAAAACACCAACTTTGAGAAAACCGATAAATATGTTGATCGCAAACATGGCCATGTCCGACCTGCTCTTTCCAATATTCCTGTTCCCCCTTCGACTTGCAGAGTTTCACGTTGGCTCGTGGATTATTGGTGGTGCCCTTGGCCAAGCTTTATGAAAGCTACACATCTTTCTTGCAAATGTTTCTGGGGTAGTATCGATACAGAGCCTGGTTCTGATAGCAGTGGATCAATTTGGAGCCGTCGTAGTTCCACTCCGCTCTCCTCTCATAACTAGAAAGCTGTGTCCATTCTTTATTATCGTTACGTGGATCACCGCTATGGCCGTTTTTTCGCCACTTCTTGTTGCAAACAAACTTGTTAAATACCGAGAACGACTGATGTGCGTACGTCTGTGGATGGAATTCTTTGGAGGAAGCAAGTTTGCAAATTACTTCCTAGCAGTTGCTGTCGTGTTTCTCTGCATCCCCTTTGTCCTCGTGATGATACTTTACTCTATCATCTTGATGAAGCTTAAAATGCAAACCCATCCAGGTGAACAGTCAGCCAACGCTGAAGAAAAGCGCACCAGAAGAAACAGAAACGTGCTTAAGATGGCCACGGCCATCGTTGTAGTGTTTTTCATTTTCTGGATACCCTATTTCAGTAGCGCGGTGATAGTTAATTTTGGTGCACCGGACAGTTCCATCTCGTTTTCCTGTAGTTTTTATCTGTTCTACACTGTCACCAATTACATGATTTACGCAAACTTTGCTATCAACCCGATCATCTGCCTCACTTTTAGCAGTAATTATCTCCAAGCACTTAAGAGACTTGTGAATTGCTGTGATACAGTGCAAGATTAGCTTTTGCAACCTAACAGCTGGGTCTTAAGAGTTTCGTGCAAAAAAAAAATTACAAAAAAATGATAATAAAGATAATAATAACCTTAGGATTAGTCTAACGGTATCATTTAAGTCTGTCATTTGTTGTTTGATCAGTTTGAAGTAGTCTTTTTTACTTTAATTCTTAACCAAGATACTAATAATAACTAGAGGTTCAATGCTGGAAGTGAAGTGCGGCCTCATGTGGAAAGATCATGGAGTTGGAACGGTAGGATATCACATGGTCTTCGAGGCTGTAAGATTTTTCTCTCGTCACGAAAAGCTAGGAGCGTTGCGTGGCGCCCGACAAAAGGGAGACTATGATGAATAAAATACAATATGGACGATCTTGAAGTTAAGTTATGTTGGATTTTATAAGCTTCTTATAGTATCTTCAAGAACAGCTTTATCTTGATGTGTGACTATAATTTGGAACCTGCTTCTACTTAGAATTACAGTGACACCTGTATTAAGCGGACACCCTCGGGGAATGCTGTAGTGTCCGCTTAATACAGGTTTCGATGTATAATGTCATATGAGGTGTCAAATGCCATTCAAATGAACAGTGAAAGCGTTTAGAATACTCCCAGAGACTATGACGATAGACGTTTGCATTGATTTTTTTATCAAAGTGAAGCAATTGATCATAGTACCATAAACATAGATTGCAACTCAAATTTGAAGAAATCAGATGAGTGAAACAAGCTCTATACAAACAAAACGAAATAAAAAACAATCCTGTACTGTGAAACTAATCAAATAAGTTCGTCAATTCACGTTTTTTAATGTGAAAATCGAAAAATTTGTGGGTGGCAATTCGAGGCAATCTTTCGCATTTCCGGTGTCTGGCTGTTGGGTGGTGGAATTTAATTACAAGTGTCCGTTTAATACAGATTGGCAACAATAGAAGTAACCATTTCAGGAACTTTTTAGGTGTCCGCGTCCGCTTAATAGAGGTGTCCACTTATTAAAGGTTTCATTTAAAGTAAATAAGAGAAATAAATTTGGGGACTTCGGCTACTGTCCGCTTAATAGAGGGTGTCCGCTTAATACAGCTGAGGTTTCACTGTAGTTTCAAATAAAAACATAATGCAAGCAATGAATTCCCAAAGATTTTAATCAATAACAACAAACATTAATATCTATTTCACTAACATATTATCCGTATTTATTTTTTATAATCGCTGTATAATGAAAGATTGAATATTAAATACATACTCCAATATCAGTTTGGATTGTTATTGACAAATACACAATAAAGACATATTAAAAAAAAACTTTCAGAAAGCATCTTCGATTTAGTACACATTCGTTTGTGTTGAATTCATTCTTTTACTTCATGAGATCAATACAAATAAGTTTTTGAAATGAACAAGAAAACCGAAATTCCGTTTGCGCAACCTCGGTAAGCAAATCGCTTGGTTTATTTGCCTCTTTGCCGGGGCGTATTATGACCTCAATAGTAAAAATTCAGCTTGTTCGCATCGTTGATCGATTGACCGCTTTTAATAGAAAAAGCAGTAAACTACAACGGGAAGGTTATCCACTAAAAACCATTCTGCTGAGATGATTGTTCAGAGACGCTTTGAACTAATTGTCCCCTCGAGACAAGATTTCATCGATTTTGTTCCTGATCCACAACGATCCGCAGCTGATAACTCGTTGGGCTCATGCTAGTGGAACGACAGTGCTGCGAAAAATGAAAGAACATTGTCTCTCCCTCGAATTCTCACTTAAACGTTTGCTACCTTTCAAAACTACTGAACTTAACAACTGACATGAGATGCAAATGAGTATCTTACCGGCTGAGTTACAGAAAATATCAATCTGTCCCTCGCACTCGCGTCCGACTCTCGAATTCAACCTCATGCATACCACCCTCATACGCAACATTAACTACTGACTAAACATTTCACTTTGCTGCATTGGGTGCTACGCGGCGGGGACTGGGAACGGGTAAAACAGCGAAAAAAAGGTACAAACTTCTAAGCAAACTTCCCGACAAATCGAGTTCTCAGACGCCCTCAAGACTAAAATAGGTAGCTGCTCTGTGGGGGCAGCAATAATTATTATCTTGTTTACTCTTGCGTCTAAAAATATGGGTAAGTGTGAACCAATTGTCGATTGTAACAATGCAAATAAGTGAAAAATGACGTAGAGAGAGTGTCAATCAAGAAATCCTCAGGGTATTGTTGGTTTTCACATGACGTCACTAAAATTCAATCTAAAAAACTATCGATCCTACCGAGATTTTACTTTCACGATGCATTAGAGCAGCTGAAAACTAATTTTCATACAAATTTTCGCTTCAAAAGGGTTCTTGGTTTTGTGATAGAGTACGCTTGAATTTCTAAGCTTTCGCGTGACGTGGCATTTACATGAGGGCCAAGAGAGCTGTCATGTAGGTTTAAAAAAATGGCTTATTTCAGGACATTTTGCTATCTAAACAGTCCATGTATTAGCAAAAGTATTACTGTTATGTTTATGAGTTTCTCGAAGAATAAATTCACGCTTTTGTAGGAAAACTCGGCAACAGATGTCTCTGTTGGTTTCCGTCCGCCATGTTGGAGCTTATCCAGGTGAGCACTAGCATGGCGTCTCCATACAAATCTCTATAAGTTTGGGTGAAACATTTCTTCGGATATCTCGTATACGAAATATTCCTCTGACCTGAATCTTCGCGAGGGTCTTTGTATATGTACCTCCTTTCATTTCCCAGATTCTGGACTTTATCTATTAATTGAACGGTTTTGATTTTTATTTTGATCTATTTTGAGTGGCGTGGCACTGAAAACCAGCAATATCCTTTTCCTGGTTATTGTTCTTGCTCAGACACCCTCAACAATTGGCTATTATTCCAAGAAGAATAGAAATTCAGGTGACTAATAAGACTTCAGTCTATTCAAAAACTGTCTAAATTTAATACGAATTACCCCCAGTTGTAACCATTTGTTTTTAAACGCTCTAAAGTTAGTCTTTGATGATTGTTGTTGATTTTGCCGTGGGTGTTTCAACAGGCTGATTTCAACCGATTTTTAAACTTTTACAAACCTTTATGGTGTTCGAATCGTACTTCAGTTGGATAATGCTTTTGCATAAACATTTCTGAGCAACATTTTGTATTTTTTGCAGCTTTTGTCGTTTAACTTCACTTAATCAACACGTTTTAAAAAACAAATACGCATTATTCAGCCAATTACCAAAGCAACATTTTTTGATTTAGCTGTACATTAAACCATTATTTGAACTGTAGCATCTTTTAAAAAGACACTCAAGACATTTTTATTTCAGAAAGCTTTCTTGTGATTTTATGTGCTTTTTAGTCTCGTTTTTAGTAGGTTTATGCAGTTTTTTTATGATCTAAGTAGTCTAGGTAATTTTTATAGTTTTAGTGTTGACATAATTATTTTACTCTTTTTGGTAGGTTCATGCACTTTTTGCATGTATATAGCCTAAGAATTTTTTTTTTAATATTTTTATTTTTAAGCGCTGATGAAAATAGCAATATTGATATCGGCGCTATATAAGTATTATTATTATTATTATTATTATTATTATTGGATGTTTTTCAGTGGAAGAACGTCTCTAGAGAACACAACTTTCGAGAAGTCAGTAAACATGAACACAACAGTAAATGGATCAAGTTCCTGGAATTGCCCCAGTCTGATAAATCCAGAAGCAGGAAAAATTGGACTAACAGTTGCTCTCAGTTTGATCCTTGCTGTTTCACTAATTGGAAATTTCCTCATCGTATTACTTGCTTACACCAACTTTAAGGCCTGTTTCAAACGTCGTACTACTGCCGTGCTAAGCTGGCTCGACTGTAGCTGCGGCTGCAGCATGAAACTAGCACCACTTGGATTCAAAAGACGAATTTAATTCAGTCGAATAGAACGGCTGCTCCTGAAAACAAAACACAAAAATAAAGAAACAATTTGGCAAACTTTTAAATGTATTCTAATGTATTCATAATTTATGAATTGAGTTCGGCACGGCAGTAGCACTACTTGGTTTCAAACGTCGCGCTACTGCCGTGCTAAAGTCGAATTTAATTCGATCAATATAGTTGGGCACGGCAGTATCACGACGTCTGAAAGGGGCCTATGAAAACCGATAAATATGTTGATCCCAAACATGGCCATGTCCGACCTGCTCTATCCAACATTCCTGTTCCCTGTTCTACTAGCAGACGTGCACGTTGGCTCTTGGCTCATTGGTGGTACCCTTGGTCAAGCCTTATGCAAGCTAAAGGTCTTTCTTGCAGATTGTTCTGTGTTAGTATCGATTCAGAGCCTGGTTCTGATAGCAGTGGATCGATTTGGAGCTCTTGTAGTTCCACTTCGATCCCCTGTGGTCACTAGGAGGGTACTAAGAACTCTCAGTTGTCGTAATGCTGTAAAAAGAAAGCTTTAAGAGAGGTGTATGTACGTTTTCCAGTATTCGCCTTTTTAAACGCGAAGCCAGCTAAGAAATCAAGAACATGAGTTTAGAAGGATCAAACTACTTGAATAATTTACATGTTTCATTGTGCTACGCGGCTTTTGATTATTAGTGTGGTTCAAAATTCCGATTGAATTAAATCAGGGTGGCCTTATGATTAATGATGGCGTGCAATTTGCGGTTGTTTGTTCATTCTTCGAAATTCATCCCTGCCAAAAACAAAGTACATAATACTTTAAAATCTCTGATATACATGTAGATCAACTCATTCTTGCACTAATATTCAGATTTGGGGATGTTTTGGTGTAAAAAATTTAGCCGTATCCGTGTCATAAACAGATATAAAGACATTCATTAAACATAAATTTTCTTTTATTATTATTATTAGTGACTTCTTTTTTTGAATGAATCATTGTCACTCAGCCTTGTATGCAATATTTGTACCAACTTTATTTTAGGTAACATTTGAGACAGCTTAATGGGGCAATGTCTTGACGATGTTGCAATATTGCTGCTTTACGTCAATTCTATGCTTACGTCATCAGGAGGGTCAGGTGGGCCCTGACCCTCAAAAAGTTGAAATCATTTTTGTTTATTGTCTAACTACAATTAGAAAAACAAAAAGAGTTTTTTTGACATGATATCTCAGCAACTTTACAGAGACATACTTCAGTAAATTCAGTAAATATGCAGCGTAAGAAGGCTCTTTAACCTGTATGTTTTGTTTTCTCAGTGGAGGTCCGAGGAGAACTTGACTCTTTGTTTGTTTGTTTGTTTGTTTGTTTGTTTTTTTCATAAATGATGCTTACATATGCAGGTGAATAAGACGAAATTTGAAAGGATTTTATTGCTCTCTTGAGTACTATCACATGACCCAGTGTATTGGAAAAACAAAATATACGAGCTAAAGAGGTCTATTATCGACACTTATCGACGCTTAGGAGTATTTATTCAAAGTTTTGATATATATGTACCTTGATCACTCAGTCGTTTAAGAAGAAATACCAATTAAACGCTTTAATTGACTTACATAATAATTTGCCTTAGTTTGCTGATCAATAAAAGGGTACAAAGTTATTAGCTAAAACCTCTGCAGGTGGCAGTATTTGCTTACAATTAAATACAGTGACGCCGAAGTGTTGTCGATGGTTCAATATTAAGCATATACAATATATAAAACCATTATTTGAACAGTAGATGTTTTTCAGTGGAAGCAATTCTCAAGAGAACACAATTGTCGAGAAGTCAGTAAGCATGAACACAACAGTAAATGGATCAAGTTTCTGGAGCTGCACCAGTCTGATAAATCCAGAAGCACTAAAAATTGGACTAACAGTCGCTTACAGTTTTATCCTTGTTGTTTCGTTGGTTGGAAATTTTCTCATCGTATTAATTGTTTACAAAACACCAACTTTAAGAAAACCGATAAATATGTTGATCGCAAACATGGCCATATCCGACCTGCTCTTTCCAATAATCTTGTTCCCGGTTCGACCGGTAGATTTGCAAGTTGGCTCGTGGCTTATCGGTGGTAACCTTGGTCAGGCCTTGTGCAAGCTACAGTTTTTCGCTACATACATTTCCTCGTTAGTATCTGTTCAGAGTCTGGTTCTGATAACAGTGGATCGATTTGGAGCTGTTGTAGTTCCACTTCGTTCCCCCCTCATAACCAGCAAGCAGTGTCCATTCTTCATTGTCGCTACGTGGATAATCGCAATGGCCGTTCATTCGCCATATCTTGCTGTTTCTAAACTTGTTGAATACCCTGGAGGAATGAGGTGCACAAGTCAGTGGAGAGAAACCTTAGGAGCAAACGCCAATAGAAATTTTGTCTTAGTAGTTGCTATCGTGTTTTTCTACACCCCCTTTGTCTTGTTGGCGATACTTTACTCCGTCATCCTGATCAAGCTTAAAAGGCAAGCCCATCCAGGTGAGGCATCAGCCAACGCTGAGGAACAGCGGACAAGAAGAATCAGAAACGTACTGAAGATGGCTATTGCTATTAATGTAGTGTTTTTCATTTGCTGGATACCATTGTCCAGTAAGGGGATGATAATCATTTTTAGTGCACCAGAAAGTTCCATTTGGCCTTCTTGTAGTTTTTATCTGTACGATCGTATCACCTTGTCTATGGCTTTGGAAAACTGTGCTATCAACCCGATTATCTGCCTTATTTTTAGTAGTAGCTATCGCCAAGCTCTAAAGAGACTTGCGAATCGCAGTAATAAAGTGCAAGATAAATTTTTTGAAAACTAAAAGCCTGTTCTGAAACGATTCCAGAGAAAAAAAAACGACCGATATTTAATAATTATTCCTCGAGCCTAACTGAGCTCTGAGTGGCTATTGACTCAGAGGCCATGAGGGCGAGAGGAATAATTGTTTTAGTAAAATCCAACTGGTTGGTAAAAAATATCGAGAATAAAAAACTTTTAGCTAGTTTAAGCTAGATTTTAATCCTTTTTTGCCGCCAAAAAGCCCGCGCTTTTCGCTACTGGTGGGCTATAAAGTAGTAGTAGCTCAACCAATCAGAAAAAAGCTGCCACCCTCGTTTCGCGCGTCTCGCGGCTTCGCCGCTCGCGCGCGCGTGCACTCCCCTTACTAAACCGGAAGAAAAAGAGAGACTGCTCGCAGTCTAAGTGTTTGAATGAACATTAATAGAGTTACGCTCCAACATAATAAAGAATTTATTATGTGTTTATTTAACAGTTAATGAATGAGGCTGAGTATCTTATGAAGAATTATAGAGATCGAGGAGGGTGTTATCCATCGAGGCCGTAGGCCGAGGCGGATAACACCCTCTGAGATCTCCATAATTCTTCGTAAGATACGAAAGCCGAATTCAATAAATGTTTTACTATTCATTCAAAATAATTCCTAGTTTAAAAACATAGCTAAAACATGCTTATCTCCATCGATCCATCGATGTTCAGTTCATCTTCGATAGTGTACGTTTAGGTTTGTCCACCTTCGCAAATATTCTCCAAATAGCAGATGTCGCCCTTCGAGTTGTCTTCTTGCTGTTCTTGCCATGTTTTAAGCTACTTTTTCGCCTAGTTCTTACTCTTGAAACGAGTGAAATGTCCGCCATTTTTTCAAGTTTACAACCAAAACAACTTAACCTCGTCCCCAGGTATTCTCGGTTAACGGTGCCTTAACCTGCGAAAACGCTGCATTTTTTGACTTCATTTCCTCGTTAAAGTCAAAATTCTTCCAAATTTGGTCATCAGTAACTGGTTATGGTGAATTAAACGTGTGCTTTTAGCCAATCAGAATCGGGGAAATATTTGAATGAATAATAATTTTTATTTAATGGTTTTATCGATGTGTAATCTTCAAAAGCGTTTGATACGCACGGCACTGTTTTGAGTACTCCTGCAAGCGATGTTCACTGAACGACTGAAAACAAACGGCACAGCGATTAAAAGTACAAAAGATACTACTAACAATCAACAAAAGAAGTATAATTCGGTGAAACATATGCAGAGACAACAATTCTCATTCACGAAGACAAGTATTAAAGTGTCTGTAAAAATCCTGAGTCTTCAAGCTTAAAGCTTAAGTTTATGTTTCAAGCCGGATTTCCCGGTGTTTGCTTTTTTCAAAGATGAACTCGGGGGCAAGAAAATCGCTCAAGGCTTTCTTTTACAACCAGCATTATAACTAACTATTCTTTCTATTTGCGGTGAGTAAATGTCTAAAGGCTTTTCAAAGTTCTGTAAGCTTATATCAAACTTGATACTCGGTCAGATCATTGTTTCAAATATTACAAACGCGCATAAACTAAATAGCCCCATAAACTGCGCTCGACTTCATTAAATTAGATTTAATGCTCTCAACCCATAACCCCTTAAATAAAAGCAAGTAACTAGACCAGAATTATTATGGGGAAAGGGGGTAAGGGATGAAGTACTCCAAATATGGACAGAAGGTCACTTTTCTCTACATATTGGTGTAACATTCCAAAATCTACAAGGGGAGAGGTGATAATCCTCTCTAGGGAGTGATAATCCCCCCGGATAGTGAGAGGTGATAATCCTCTCTTGGGGGTGATAATCCCCCAGGATAGTGAGAAGCGAGGTGATAATCCTCTCTAGGGGTTGATAATCCCCCAAAGTTGTGAGTGGAGGTGATAATTCCCCTTGGGTACTGGAGAGGTGGAAAGACCTCTCTAGATGTCTAATTCCCCGGTTTAAGGAGTAACAAGAGTCTATGGGGCAAAGTGTGACTTGTATGAGAGTACTTCATCCCCACAAATACCCCAAAGGGGTATTCCCCATAGACGAACAACAGGAATTGTAGGGCTATTTCCAGAGTCAAATGTCAATTGAAACAATGGTCACATGGTACTTGAACATTGCGTGTAAGATTAGACTGGGCAAATGTCCCAGCGACCAGGTATCAGCTGGGGACATAACCAGGAACAGAAACAAGTTGGTCAGGGGCCTAAGACTTCCTCCACAGCAGATGAGGAGATATGCAATAACGAAGAACAAAACAAAGGATCAGTCTACAAATTAAGTACAATTAATTGACTAATTACACAAACTGGATGCAGCTGGTGTATCTATCAAGTCAGGGCCAGATACTGAGATGTGAGAATGCAAAAATATCTGCGGTACGCAGTTTAGCAGATATTTGTTTTCTGCACGTTCTTATATGGTTAATTACGTGTATTATCTTGTCTGTTTGTGTTTCGGTATTTTTGGTGTTAAGTATTTTGCATAAAGTTATATAAGTGTCTTGTTCATTCGTACTCGTCCTTCGGGTCTGTGAACGCCTAACAACCCACAGTCTGATTTCTTCGCTCGCTTGATGAGCAAGAAGCAAGGATCTTCGGTTCCGTCCGTTAACTTTAGCGATGCAGCAGTCGTTGCGTTCCATTAATGAGGCTATTAGGGCTTCTATTGCGGAGTTTATCGGTTCTTTAGCGGATAATCTTACGCAGGTTATCAAAGATTGCTTCAGTGGCTTTACAAAGCGATTTTCGGAGGAAATTGCGTGAATAACGCGACAGTCGTGCAAGCCGTTAACACTGTTAATAAGGCCCGCAGCGAAGTTTTAGTTGTGAAAGAGAAGGGAATCAGCAGCAGCTCGCGATCACGCCCTGCATTAGTGCTTGGCAACTTTAAGGAATTGACGCATTAAAGTCCAAATTCTACCGCCCAAGTTAAGCCGGTCCTGGGAGCAGGTACTGGTTGGTTTCTGCTCGTATAAAGGTTTTTAAATGGCCGATAAAGTAACTTTAGTTGGTCTACTGTGAATGGATACCTTTCCGGCGAGCTTGCGTCGAGTTTTGAGGACGACAGGAAGACTGATGTATAGGGCAGAGAGAAGAGAAGAAAAGAAATCCGGCCAAGGCAGGCGTCGCCGTTTTCGCCTCGTCGATCGAAAGGACTAGGCTTCTCCCACTTCTAGCGCTTTTTCCTTTCAATTTGGATCTTCAGCGAGTGCTCAGCCTAATCGATGGGTTTTTAACTTTTCGCATCGTTTAAGATAAGTATTTCTCTTTGCTTTACATCACACTTCAGACTTACTTTGTTTTTTCCGTCGGCGGACATATGGCGTTACACCCAGGCCATATCCAATATTCTCCATGATTTGTTGCTTATGTTGTTTCTTGTTTTTCTACTAACTTCTGGAAAGTGCAGAATGCAAAAATATCTGCGGCACGCAGTTTAGCAGATATTTGTTTTCTTCACGTTCTTATATGGTTAATTACGTGTATTATCTTGTCTGTTTGTGTTTCGGTATTTTTGGTGTTAAGTATTTTGCATACAGTTATATGTGTCTTGTTCATTCGTATTCGTCCTTCGGGTCTGTGAACGCCTAACAACCCACAGTCTGATTTCTTTTTATTGCTTTGAATTTCTCAGCTTATTGGAAAAATTGATTGTTTTGTTTTTTAGTGATTGAAGTTCGGCTTTTGCTCACGTCTGCTTCTTCATTTCAAAGACCAACTTCTCGCAGTGACTGGCTACTATATAGATGACGGAAAGGATTCATTTGTCAATCTTCAGATGAGTGTGATTTGATTTATTTTAGTACAGTGTTTCCGAAGAATTTTTCCTGGGGATATCTGTTCAGGAGTTATTTAAGGTCGCTTTAAGTCCTCCTTTAGTCTTTGTGACTCAAGCCTAAAAGCACCTCAGTTCACTGTTGCTACCATTGCCCACTTCCGAGTTTTTAGCCAATGGCTGTATTATCGAGCATGGTGAGCCTCCATTCTAACGGTTGCAGTCGTCATCGATCTTACGCAGTCACGTTAATTGCTACCTCGTTCGATTTAAGTTTAAGTACGAGAATTTTTCGCACCTTATCGCAGGTTCTTAAAGAAGGGCACCGAGGCTATGAGTGGGACCTATAATCTAGACTGACATTTCCTTAGATCACCAGAAGTATATAGGTTTTTCTTGGCCCTTCAAGGTGTGCTTTGATATTTTGCTTTCTCGATTTTAGTCTTTGGTCTAGTTAAGCGTTTGTTTTTGTTTTACTGGCTTTCTATAGGTATGAAGTTTTTTGTTTATCTCGATGACCCATTTGGTAGTCATCTAAAAAGGACGTCTGCCGCCTGGTAGCTTTTATTGAGCGCAAGGGGCTTATTCTTCCGGTTTCCTTATTGGTAAGGAGAAATCCCAACGGGTCCCAATACTAGTGAGCGAGTGGCTCAGGTTTGCGGTCTGCACCATTTGTTTTATGTTTTAGATTCCCGAGAAGCAAGTTTTCAGCTCGTGAAGCGGCTTTGGCCGAATTCTGCAATTCAAAATGAGTCATCTTTCTATCGCAAATCAGCTGGGATGGCTGGTTCCATTATTTCAGTTGCCTTAGAGGTGGAGCCCATTCCCCTCACAAGCCAGACGAAGGTAGCTATGGAGTCTTCATCGGCGTAGGATCACCTTTTTCGCCTCACTCCCCGGCGGCTGGTGGAGTTGAAGTTTTTGTTTTTGTGACATTGACTCTTAAAACGGTAACTCTATTCGGCATTCCCCCTTCCCCCCAATTTTTCCACAGTTGTATTTCCCGAAGTAAGCGACGCTTCATTTCGCGGCTTTTCCGCCCTGTGGCTGCCGTTATGTTCACGATCGATTATTTGGGTCAAAGTTGCTATTTTTTGCGAATTTGATAGCTATTTAATATTATGTTTTGCTTTCTTTTGAAGAGCGGTTAAAGCACAACAGGGTAAAAATTTTCTCTACAACCAGAGTGCTTTGGTGTCTTTAAGGTCCATACAGTCGGTGGCTCTAAGCGTTTTTCATGTTTGTTTTCGCATGGTAATGCCTTGGAAGCGCAGTGGATTCCTAGATCGATCAACGGGAAGGCTGATCTTTTGCGCCGTTTCATTGACGAGAATGATTCGCCAGTTAATCCCTATGTGTTTCGAGTCGTTGAAGCCAAGTGGGGTCCTCGCACGAATCTTAACCGTTTCACATCCTATTATAGAGCGTTCAGCTTTCGCGTTTTGACCCCTAGTTTGCTTCTCCTCGTTGTAGGTGTGTCCGATGCCTTTGTCCGAGACTGGAGTGGAAAGGATAACTGGATTTTCTTTCCAGTGTGTCTAGTAGTGGCCGCCTGATTTGAGCCTGATTTGGCCTTGTATGCTCGGTTTGGCGCATTTGTAGCCTGATTTGGCATAATCTTGAGCCTGATTTGGCATATCTGTGAGCCTGATTTGGCGCATCTGTGAGCCTGCCTTGGCTTGAGTTGTGAATCTGATTTGGCATATCAGTGAGCCTGCTTTAGCTTATTTTTGAGCCTGATTGGGCATGTTTCAAGTCATTTTGGTGTCGGCTCGTTTTGGGCCTGTAATATAATTTTTTCAATTCTTCTTTGCGCGAATATTTTGCTTAGCGCCTCCCTTGTTCAATGTTTTTTGTTCAGTTAAGTAAATAACGCTGTAGTTGTTTTATTTTTACGCTATTTCCTTTTATTTCGGTTGCCCTAAATTCCAGGTTATGGCTTGAAACAGCCCCCTTGACTGATTCTTCGCTGTGGTATACAGTTCCAGGCCTGACTGGTTTGCAGTTGGATGCTAACGTTCCATCCACAGTCTTGAAGATACGGGTCTGGCATATTGTGGTGGCGTGAGTGGGCTTTATCGAAGACTGCCTTTGCATGTCTCATTGTATTTATCTAAGTTAGATTAGCGTTCTGTGGATAACACTGGCGCATCTTATTTAGAATCTGCTGTTTACAGTATAAATTGGGGCCATGCAGTTAGCCACGCCTTGCTTAAGTTTCCCTTTAAATTACAGGAGGCCAAAAGAGACTAGGCTTGCGCACCCAGTTCAGCCTCAGTAGCTGCTTTCTGTTGGTTTTGTCAGGCGATTGCTGCACATTTTGCCTCTAAATCGCGATGTTTTCCATCTAAAATATATACATGTAATAGTTTTATGTCGATTTATGTGTCCATGTAATCGCAAAGTAGAACTATTTTGAACTCTGAGGACTTGTCCCGTAGCTGTGACCTAGTGTTTTATCAAGTTCTCGCCTCAGTCCTCCTCTGCGTTTCCATTAGTTCGTAGAATTGTCCAAGCTCAATCTTAGGAGTACGGTATATTATACTTTCATTCTAGTGCAAGGGTTTTCTTTATTCACGTTATTTGGGAGAAGAGTTTAAGAGGCATATTAAGCCATTAGTTAGTGATGTTTTTAAGTAAGTACCGCACCCACAAGTGAGAGCGAGTCTGACGCGGCGCCCAATCCAACTTGTAGGAGAACAGCTGGTGATTTGTCGGATATCCACGCCGGTTTGAGGTGCGAGCCCACTAAGCCGGCATAGGCATTTTCGGCATGGTCTTAACGAGCTCTCCGTATCTAGGTCGCTTTCAGTCCAGGTGTACTTCGTAGAGATATAGATACATTTCAGCATATTTTCCAGAATTTGCGTGTAATTGTTAGTGCTTAGCCTTATCTAAGTCACTTTCAGTCCAGGTGTATACAAGTTTTAGTATATTTTCCAGTGTACACGTGTAATAGTTTTATATATTAGAAGTTCTGCTTCTGTCTATTGCAGTTCTGAGTAATTTGTTTAGAGTCCTGGCGGGGGACGTTAGTTGCGCCTGGCCCGCCCCAGATTTCCTGTGCTTTTTTCCCTACGAAGTTTTATGGGACAGGTTTTTTCTGGCCACCCTGGCACACTTACATGCAGCTTTTAGTTTTATTTCATTTGCTGTAGTGTTTTATCTTTTGGGTATAATTAAAGTGGGTTATGGCGTTACACCCAGGCCATATCCAATATTCTCCATGATTTGTTGTTTATGTTGTTACTTGTTTTCCTATTAACTTCTGGAAGTGCAGAACCCAATATATATTGACAAAATTTTTAAACAACTCCTCATTGATAAATCAGAATACACATGCTCATGGTTGTTGTTTGTAAGCTACTAAAAGTAACTGTATTATTTATGGTTTCAACCCAATTATTGAAACAATGACAACAGTACATTCCCAGGCCCCCTGGGGACAACCACAACAAGAAAGGTTAGCTCCGAAAGAGAGGACTCACCCAATGAGAACATTATCCCGCAACAAAAACACAACAACCAGGCTAAAGAGAGGTCCTAATCCTCTCTCGGGGGTCCTGATCTCCAGGCCCCCTGGGGACAACCACAACAAGCCATCAAGTCCCCAGGCTACAGAGAGGTCATAATTCTCTCTCTGGGATCCTAATTCCCAGGCCCCCTGGGGACAACCACAACAAGCCATCAAGTCCCCAGGCTACAGAGAGGTCCTAATCCTCTCTCTGGGATCGTAATTCACAGGCCCCCTGGGGACAACCACAACAAGAAAGGTTAGCTCCTTTTTACCGTGTAACAAGGCTGTCTGAGGGGCCCATTCTGCCACAATAGCTGACCATGTGAGTCTATGGGGCAAAGGGGCGACTACTTCTGGTCGGTTCTTGCATATCATCACGAGTCTAGCAAAAAGAGACCTATCCTCCTTCAGCTCTACCACCTTAACAGCAGTTTTCATCCTTACAACTGCATGCTTTTCCATGTCTTGAGCTTCATTTTACTCATAGTCGACCAGAAGTTAACCTTTCCTGTTTTCATCTACAAATGTGTTGAACAATTTTCTACCTGTTTCAATATATTTGACACATGGACTTGATTTCCTTGGATGTGACCACTTTGGTTACCAGATTATACAGATCACTGTTTGAAGCTGAATCCTTGCTTACCGATAAAGGATTTGTAAAGCTCTTAATTGCTGCTATTAACTGCTGTACACCTTTATCCTCTCTTGCTACAATAGAAGCGGAAAGGTTATGATGTTGTTCTGGAGTGTGCAAAGACACACCAGCCATGGATATTGCCTCTGAAGCTAGCTTTGCTAACTCTGGATCAGTCAGGAAAAACTTTGGTGGGGCTTTTTCATTCTGTGTAATACCAACCAGTCCTCCGGACACCTTCATGGCACGGTTTAGGAGCTCCAAGGCGTTGTCATCTTCAACTGCACAACAACACACTTGTTGATAACCCAATTTCCGTTCATGAACTCTTGGTGAATTCAGGTATCTCATGCTTCCAGGGAAGCTATCTTAGCAAGATATTGTGGAATCATACGAGAATAATTGAGCCTGTCGTGGGTAAAGAAGTATACTCTGTGAACTGTTCCAGTGTAGTCAGATGCAATTTCCAGTTACCGCTTCGAACTGATCTGATAAAGGCACACATTTCCATTATCGTTCACATATGGTGTCGCATCACTATATACAAACTAAGGACTTCTGTTGTTTGCAGTGTCGAACTCTAACACCTTTTCAATGACTTTCGAGGAACTGATGCTGCCGACGACGGGTGGGCTCTCTATTTTTTCTTTCTTGCCCTCTCTGAATGCTTCAATAACTTCTCTTGATAAATTTTCAAGACACTGGCGCAGTTCCTACAAAGTTTCAGGAAACCCATCTAGGTACAATGAAAACCATGCATGCCTGTAAGGTGATCATGTGTGCTTTTTCACGTCTTTTAACATGATTACCATCGAGAATCTGCTTAACAGTGGAGGGGCCGTACAGTTCTGATTCTATCCAACACATATCGATCCCACTACTATCAATGTACGCACCGATCGTCCTTAGCATGGCCATGACAATGTGCAACTCATCGTGACCGGGACGGAGAATGAGGTGGTTTAAGTCATTTCGAGCCATCTGGAGCTTTTTAGCAAGAAGATACAGTCCCATGTCAAGAGATATAACATTCTTTCTTTCAAAGCTAACAACTATGGTAGAGATATTTTGAGCCTGCATAAGAACTTTCTATAAAGTGTTCCATTCATGCGCAGGATGTGCCACCAAAGGGGGTGCACCAAAGTGCAGCTTTTGTAAAATTTTCTTGTTTTGATGGCTTCGTTTTATGGAATTTCATTGAATCACAGTGTCCTTATTCAGAATTTTCTCTTAAACCCACTTAAAAAAGCTAACGGCATCAAATAATATAAAAATAGTATTTAAAGTTACCCTTTTAATGCAAGGTATAAAGAGTTTTATATTTTAGCCTCATTTTTATGCTACAAGATCACGTGACCACTAATTGAACAAAAATACGTCAAGAAATTTACTAAGAGCAGCTAGTTGTTTGTTGCAAGGAAATTTGGTAAGCAAAACGGCTTGTCTACGGGAGGTACAAAGGATTTTCGACCCTCCAGCCTCGTTTCCATGTTGGCCTCCATAGGTGAAAATTTCAAACCCCGATAATTCCCGTCCGATCAGGTTACAAAGCTGCCACCAAAACTTTCCATGACTACTGTGTCCCAATAAACATTCCTAGACCAGTGGCTTACTTTCAGCAAAAAAATCCCACGGGACCTTATATCATGACATTTGCTACCAGACTAATAGAGGCGAAAGTTAAAATGTTTATTTAACAATTAGTTCATGCGCCAGCGTGCGTATGTCAAGATATCACTCAAGCAAACGGAAAGTTTGGGGCGTGAGAGTTGCTCTAGTCGCAGATGGAAAGGCAAAGTTGTATCGTTTATCAAATTAAGCACTAGTTAATACACGGAATTGACTTTACACCGTCTACGTCAATATCAAAAATAGAGGCTAAAAGTCAGTGAAAGTTAGCTTAGGGAGAAAGTGAACGTTAGCTCGGGGAAAAATATTTGTTTTCAGATGTTTTTAGTAAATTAACTACGAACCGGTGTGCCACCATCAATGTTAATGGTCACGCAGATCGATCATAACCGTGCGTGGCGTTTTTCTAGAAGTGAGTACGTAATATTCATCAACAGGCCCGTTGGAGTTGAGGCAAATGCAAAATTTTTTATAGAAACATGTAGCACTAGTGTGAAGGTCTCTAATGTCTCTTTCTGTTTACTCACACTATTTAATATTTCATTCGGAAAGAATCGATCATTGGATATGGAATTATTTTATGGCCAACGAGGCACGTATAGGCAAGTATCCAACGGGCGATCTCGTGGAATAATTGCTGATTATTGTGTATTCAATTCAATGCAACATCAAATGGGTCTATAATGATAGCATCATTATTGCCACTTCCTTCTGGTCAGGAATAATATTTGCATTTTCCTTATTTTAGGTACCAGCTGAGAGAGCTTGAAGGGGCTACGTCACGAGGATATTGCTGTTCTAGGTCAGTTTCTGTGCTTAACTATAAGAAAATATCGTGACATAAACCCCGGCTTTAAAACCAATATTGAGAGGCCAGGCTAGGAAGGTCATTCAAACTGGCTAAACATGTTTAATTAAACCATGTTTTAAAAAATAAAAACGGACACGAGAAACAGGAACACAGGTCTTTTACACAGGATGCGGTCGGTAATAAAATTCAACGCGTTTTGTAATTTGCAATAACGTTGCCATCAACATAAGGTGTTTTATGAAGGAAAAAAATCTCTTTACCATGTTTGACTAAACAGCTTTAAACATAGACCGATCAATATGAAAAACCTCGAAAATAAAATCGATAAAACAAAGCAATCACTGGTTTATAAAGCTTAGCTTTATCTGGTAAGCTATCTTTCCTTTAACTTTTTTTAATCAGAAAACAAAGGTTGGTTTTCAGTTGGAGTCTTAAAAAAAGGATTTTTCTTTTTAATTTGGTGGATCTTACTTTGAGCAAGCGTCTTTTACAAATGCATAGGATAGGATGTAATTAGCGCATTTTCAAACGGGAAGACGAAGTTGTATCGTTGTAGAAAGTTGGCAGTTAATACAAATTTGACTTTATACCATTTGCTTCATTAACAAATAGAGGCGAAAGTTAAATGTTTATTTAACAATTAGTTCATGCGTCAGCGTGCGTGTGTCGAGATATCAGGCAAACGGGAAGTTTGGTGAGAGTTGCTCTCGTCGCAAATGGAAAGGCAAAGTTGTATCGTTATATCAAGTTATAAGAACTAGTTAATACAGAATTGACGAATTACACCGTCTACACCAATATCAAATAGAGGCAAAATTCAGTGAAAGTTAGCTTAGGGAGAAGTGGAACTTAGCTCTGGGAATAAGTAATTTTTCAGACCTTTTTAGTAAATTTACTACAAACAGGTGTGCCACCATAAATGTTAATGGTCACGCCGATCATGACTATTACTGGCCTTTTCTTGAAATAAGTATTCATCAATAGTTCCGTTAATTTGGCGTTGACGCACTAATGTGGAAGTCTCTAATGCATTCATTCGGTTTATTCATATTTTCATATTTTATTCGAAAAGAATCGGTCATTTATATTTTATGGGTGTTTTTAATAAAACAATCATTCCACTCCCACGTCCTGGATATGGGATATTATTATATTGGCCAACGAGGCATTACTACAGGCAAGTGTCCAACGCGCGCTCTAGTGGAATAATCGTTGATTATTGTGTACTCAACTCAATGCAACATCAAATGGATCTATGATGATAGCATGATTATTGCCACTTCCTTCTGGTCAGGAATAATATTTGCATTTTCTTTATTTTAAGTGCCATCTGAGAGAGCTTGAAGGGGCTATGTCATGAGGATATTGCTTTTCTAGGTCAATTTCTTTGCTTAACTATAAGCAAATAACAGGACATAAACCCCGGCTCTAAAACGAATACTGAGGAGCTAGGCTATGAGAGCCCGACAGGCAGAATAATCGAGAAGCGAAGTAGTTGAAAATGAATAAAACGAGACCTAGAATGTTTACCATTGCATAAAAACCATGGAAGAATTTATTCAACATTTTGATGTGGATCTAGCTATTGAATTTAGATTGAAAATTAGATTGAACTATTATTAGCTTTACTTACATAATAGTTGGTAGAATATAAAAGACAAAAATCCGCCAGAAGGTGTTTTCAAGCGAAAAGACTTGGCGAAGAACCAGTAAGACCGCCAGAAGGTGTTTTCAAGCGAAAAGATCTGCCGAAGAACCAGTAAGCATAAACACAACAGCAAATGGATTCGAGCTGCTCCAGTCTGATAAATCCAGAAGCACTAAAAGTTGGAGCAACAGTTGCTTATAGTTTAATACTCGTTGTTTCGCTGGTTGGAAATTCTCTCATCGTATTAATTGTTTACAAAACACCAACTTTGAGAAAACCGATAAATATGTTGATCGCAAACATGGCCATGTCCGACCTGCTCTATCCAATATTCCCGATCCCTGTTCGACTGATAGAGTTGCACGTTGGCTCGTGGCTTATTGGTGGTACCCTTGGTCAAGCCTTGTGCAAGATATACCCTTTTTTTAGTGATATTTCCTCGTTAGTGTCGATTCAGAGCCTGGTTCTGATAACAGTGGATCGATATGCAGCTGTTGTAGCTCCACTCCGTTCACCGCTCATCAGTCGCAAGGTGTGTCGCTGTTTGATTGTTGGTACATGGATACTCGCAGCGGCCTTTCATTCGCCATTTTTGTTTACCTTCAATCTTGTTGAATACCAAGACGAAAAGTGGTGCGAGAATCAGTTGGAGGTGATCTTCGGAGAGAACAGCTCATTTGGTATTTACATCCTATCAGCTTCTATCTTTTTCTATTACATCCCTTTTGTCGTCTTGGTGATACTTTACTCCATCATCCTGATCGAGCTTAAAAAGCAAGCCCATCCAGGTGAACAGTCAGCCAGCGCTGAGGAACAGAGGACAAGAAGAACCAGAGATGTGCTTAAGATGACCGTTGCTATCGTTGTTGCGTTTTTCATTTGCTGGATACCCTTTTCCATTCAGTTAGTAACATCTTATTTTGTACCAAAAAACACTTTGGGTTGTAAGTTTTGGGTATCTTATTATGTCGCCTTGTTTATGGCTTACACAAACTGTGCTATCAATCCGATTATCTGCCTTACCTTTAGCAGTAACTATCGCCAAGCTTTTAGGAAACTTGTGAATTGGTGTGGTGCAGTGCAAGGTTAAGTGAAATCTAGGCCTGATCGAAGTGATTCTTGAAAAAAAGCGACCAATATTAATAACTTTACTGTAAAAGTTAATAATACCGAAAATTAGTGTAGCATGAAATCTCTCTTGGGACGGCTGTAAGACCCAGGAGAATTGGGGTGGGGGGAGGGGGAGGGGAATAAGGTGCATTATGGGAGACGTGCAAGCGGTGAATAAGATATTTACCGAGCGCCGGTAAACTGTTTGAAATGCGGGCTACCCTAAACTCGAAGCCGTGTATGAAATTCAGTAGGTAATCTCGCTTCTCTTTTTTGTGGAAAAATGTTAAGTCAGAGTGTTTTTTTCTCTGTTTCAGCGATAGCCTTTTCGTGGAATGCCTTATTTTTCCTATATAGTTTATATGCTGAGTCTATTGTCACTGCCTGCGAAGTGATCCGCCACTCGTTTTGTTGTTGTTGTTGTTGTTGTTGTGAAAACGTGCCGGCGTAAGGAAATGGCGCCATTATTTCATTTTACTTGCAAACATTCTGCTCCCTAGAGCAGTATTTGGAATATATTTTACTTATTTCAGAACTGGAAAAGCAGGTCAATAGAACGGCGGATTCTCGGGATTATTCTATGTATTCCTATTGAGATCAAGCCAAGTTAGAATTAGTGTTGGTTCTGTTGTTTTTAAAAGTGAGAATTAGAAACGTGTAATAAAGAGTAGTAAAAAGAGACGCGCCATCGTAAATGTTAATAGTTGGATCATTATTATCTGCTTTTGTATAAATGGTTATTAAATGATGTACATACAACTTTAAAAAGTTTAGATGTATATATATATATAGCTATTCTGCGCGAAATTACTTCAGCTTTCTTAGACCGGCCTTAATCACTTTGATCGCTATTATGACTTTCTGATCGCATTTTGTTTCTGAGATCAACGATTTAGTGAATAAAATTTCATTAATTTTGTAGTTGACTTTGCTTTGCTCTACTGAGTAATTACGACTTGTCATTTGTGTGTGTATGTTTTATCCCGGCAAATTTGACCTCTTTGATCACAGTACTCTATTTGTCATCTCTCTTGCATTAGTTATTTTCCATTCTAGGACGCCATTTTACTGATCAGAACGGTATTCAATCGATTGCATAAATGTACGCTCAATAAAGATGAAACAAAATTTCTTTGTCAAGGCTACAAATCACTGTAATTTGTCCACCCGAGCCTCGAGTTGATGCATTTGTTTACTGGAATGTGGGAAAGGTCTATTACTACCATGCCTTGTGTTTTTGTAAGAGATTTAACGAGCGAGGTTAAACTGTTTGGATTAAGGGTTACCCTGACACCGAGTGAAAAATTCAGTACGTATATTTTTCGCATTTTTTGTGTTAGGAAAAATGTTATAATAAGCTTGGGAGTTTTTTCTCTCTTCCAGAGAACTAGCCGTTTCAACGGAATGCGTTTCCTAGCTTGTTTATATGTTGATCAGATTGTCACTGACGACTTGGTGAAAACTTGCCGCCGCAAGAAAATGAAGTAATTATTCCGCTTTCTTTTAAACATTCTGCTCCCCTGGGCGATATTTAGAATAATTATTTCACTTATTTCAGAGCTGTAATAGCAGGTCAATCGAACGGATTTTCCGGATTATTTTATCTTTTCCTTTTGTGGTCAAGCCAAGTTTTAAAAGTCTTTTTTCGGAGTAACAAAAAATTTCACAAAAAGGCTTTCTTTAAAACGTGAGTAGCCGTCCAAAACTCTCAGAGATCTTGGTATAGAGTACCAATCCTTGATAGAACGAACTGAAAAAGAACGACCACCCTCCGCGCATAATTATATCTAGGACAAAGGAAATTTAACTTACAACTTCTTGTATTCTTCATACGCATGCTATGCTAGAATTTGTAACCAGAAGTTTGTTCACATTTCTAATTAGGAGTGTTCCCTTTAAGTCTCTTGTGTATGAGTGCGCACCCATTTATGTGCGCCTCCCTATAAAAAGGAATCCAATGACAGCGGTTACCACTAACAAGCGCCCTCAAAGGTTTTTTTCTTCGGGTTCAAATCTGCGTTTTGGTGGACGTCAATCAACCGTTACCATGGGTTTTCACGCGTTGGCCCAGAGCAGACTCTCTCCCCGTTTCTCGAGCACTCGGAAGAACAAGTCGTTTTTGCAATACTTTGCTACAGGATCTGGCACCGCTTCATATCAAGACTACGAGGAGTACGAATTTGTTGAATGTTTGTCGGAGGAAACTCAAATTATTGACTTATTTACAAACTGTAAAAAACAACCACATAAGCTTTCTCAATGCACGGTCGCAACTCGTCTCAAGTTTCTGGGGAGCTTTGGTTGTCTGAGACTGAAGTGCAAGGCAAGTTTAAAATGGGGGGCGGGGGCGGGGATTTGACTTGGAATGCGTTGAAGTGAGCCACCTAGGGCTATCCCGGGGCATGCTCCCCCAGAACATTTTTAATTTTAAGCCCTCTGAAATGGCTGCAAATGCATTTAAAACTAACATGGGGTGGTAAAACTTATATACTTTCAACACCAAAAAAAGTCGCCATAAAAAAGAAAAAAAAACAAACATTTTCTCCACAAATAGTTGTGTAGCTTAAATAGGAGTTTTAATATCCTCCAAGCAACACAAAGAGCTGGGTCCAGCATGTCCAAGCTGACGCGAATTGGATAATAATATCGTTGCACGATGACGTCATTTTACTACAACTACCAGAATCCTTTAGTCTGTTGTTTTCTTGTGCAAATTAGAGCTATTGTTCTATAATCCTCAGCGGGATTGACAAATTCAAATAAGAAAGCAAAAACGAAATGAATTCTGGTAGTTGTAATCAAATGTCGTCATCGTGAAAATGGCCTATTCTCATACTCGCCGGCTGTTAAAATAACAATTCAAATCCACCACTTTGCAGAAACCTATGGCAAACAAACCCTAAACGGAATTTTATTGAGCAATGAAGAAATGTCTTGTAGGCACGCTAAATCCCCTTTTTGTACTTTACGAAGGCTAAAGGACGTTTTGTGGAAAGGGTAAGTCAGGCTTGTGACCTATTTTACAGGATTTTACTACACAATAAGTAAATAAGAATAGAACAATATTCCTACTTCACTTTGTTTTAAGTCGCTGATTAATGAAAAAAGTAAACCTCTGTTGGGGGGAAGGAAGGAGGGGGGTGCGAGCGCAACCGTCGCACCCCCCGCCCCCCCTCCCCCTCCTCCTTGCTTACGGGTCTGCTTTTCGATAACGTGAAGAATGATAAGTAGATCTGCAGGTTACAAAATTCTTTTTGAAAACAGCCTCCATTCTGAGGAAACTTTGTCCCTTGTCGGTGTGATATCCTTCGTTTCTTTGAATTTATTCTTGTTGGTAATTCGTCGTCCACGGCTCACGTGTTTTCAACAATCAAATAAATAAACAATCTGAAAACCTTTACGTAAGCTATAGAAAATGTTTCGGCTACCAGAGACTTCGTTCTTTTAACAATGTAATCCTTGATCTTAATGAAATAATTAAAAAGGCTGTCATCATTCGAAATTATTCTTGTAAGTCTTCGCCCTTCATTCAGCGATGAAGGAATCTTCTCTATCGGAGCGCGTGAGAAACCCATGGAAACAGTTGATTGAGGTCCACGAAAACTCAGGTTTCAACAGAGAGAAAAAACCCTTCGAGGGGGCGTGTTAGTGGTAACCGCTGCAAGTGTATCAAACAGGTCCACGAATCTTGTGAGTTAAAAGGTGCATTCAGGATCACTCTCGCTGCCCTCTTTTGAAGTCTGAGAATGCTGTTCAAATTTGCCTTGCTCGTATCAAATGGATTTCTATTGAAAGCATCATTGTCACTGCCTTAAGGACCACTGATGACAGATGAGAGATTGAGTTCTCTTTCAATTCTGCATATGAGCACAAGCACGTAATTGATATTGATTGCATTATAAAGGAGTTTGCCTGTCTGAAGGGTACACATCTCGCCCTTTGCTTGTAACCTCTTTGATGGCGTCACTGTTTTACCCTTTTTTGTCGTAAACACTGTACCTTACCGACGACACTAGAGATGGGTAAAATAAACAACTAATTACTCTAATTACTGCATTTTCCTTCGTCTTTATTTACTGAAAATGTCCTGCAGAAAACGCAGGAGATGGCATTTCCGAGACCCTAAATTTAAAAATTTTCCGGTGGAGCATGCCCCAGACCCTCTGACTAACTTTTTCCCTGCGTGCACCTTCAAATCTCACCCTACGCTGCTGACTTACCGGTATCAGAAGGCAAAAGCAAACATAAATTATTTCTATTTATTTTTGTCAGTTCTTTGAAAACTGAAGAAGTATGCGAATTTGGAACGAGATAAAATGATATAAGAGTGGTGAAAAAAGTAGGGCATTTCTAGCTAATGATTTGTACTTTTTGAAATAGGGATTAGCTGGGGTGGCTCACGTTGAGATTTATGCAACTGGCTCTCAAAAGTCAAACTCAGGTGACTGCAACCGCAGAGATACCAATCTATTCGGAATTATAAGTAGGAAAAACCCCTAGTTTAAAGCCAAAACTAGAATAAGTCAATGAAATGGCAAGTCGTTTAGTAAATATGTACTTGGGACTTTTCGGCCCAGCGATATGATTGTTTCCACGAAGGAAGTTTATTCCTACAAAACACCTGCGTCATTCGCGTCCATTCCCAGTTCAGTGAACATGAATGACGTGTCTTTTTCTAAACTGAACATGGGAATGTGACGTCTGGTCTAAAATTCTAAATCTCGCCATTCGTCGTCAGTTTATTCATTTCGAAACTATTTGATGATAACAGTTTTCTGGAAAAATCATAAACCATATGGCTTTTTTAAAAATCATGAACAGATGGCTTTTAATAGGCACTAAAAATGAATACCCCCGACTCTAAAAATACTCAAAACCGCCCATCCTTTTCTTGCGGTCGCCATTATGTAAGGGCCTTCACTGGGTGACCAATGCTAAACAACGCCGGGAATAGCTTTGAAAATTTAACCTGATGTTCTG